TATTTTCTTGATTAATTAACAAATCAGAATTAGCTATATATAGTTTTTAGAATACAGTATTGTAATATTACTCTGTTGCATTAGTCATGCCAATGAAACTTGTTTTTGTTGGTGTTGTTTTCTTAGAGACCCGACATGTACCCTTAAATAATTTCTCCAACCAAAACTTTTACCTGTTTTTACCTTTATAAGTAGTTACAACACAGTGGTCAGCGTTAAGGGTTCTACTTTCCAGTGTCGCGTCATTTTTTTACTTGCCTACGTGCGTAAAATTTACTTTCGCAAACAAAATAGATTTACCTGCGTTAACGTGCGTAGCCAAAAACGAGTCAGTGGAAACCAACCTTAAGTGTTGTTCATACACTAAAAGGAATGCTTGACCCTATTTCAGACCAAAGAATGTTATTTCCACTCCAGTTTCCAGACCTGGCGGCCCACAGTCATTTTCAAACCTGAAATTACTTAGATAAGACGCCAACAAAACGGTTTCTTAAAATTCATTTTGAATTCGCGTACTATCTTTTTTCTTAATCATTTGAAATTGAAACGACAAAATACGTTCATAAACTCTCGTAGTTCCCTCGACAACCATACCCGATTCCAGACTAAAATGTGCAAAGTCCCTACCCGTTTTCCAGATCGAAACAGCGCAAAAACCATACCCTTTGAGGCGGCACATACCTAAATATATCTTATATAAGGGAGTACCTTTCCCGGGAAAGAACCTTTGGGGCAAGTGTCTAAACTAATTTTGTGGCCGATTGTAGATAGCTTGAGTGAATAAAAGAAATGCTAACCAAACTTCATTCACAGCATCATAAATAATTTTTCACCATTTCTTACTTTGAAATAGTGAAAACCCCTCCTTTTATTGAGCCGTTTAACTGAAACTCATTTACATCAGTATTTGGAAGATAAGCAGGAGTCCAAGTTTCTCGCGCGATATTAACCTTACGCAGCCCAAGCAATTTAACAAACGGTTTGCGATACCTGCTACTTCTTACGTAGTATATGTAAGGGTTAATTGATGAATTGCATGTTGCCAAGGCTTGTGCTAAGTAGAAGATCCACTTGGATCTCACATCATTTTTCGATAAAAGTTTCAAACTGATTAAAAACGGAACCCAACATGCAATTGCTACTCCAAGAAGAATGATGATAGTTTTGGCCGCTTTACGTTCACTGCCACCAACAAAGCGGTTTTGCGCTTGTATCACTACATCCTCCAGTCTTTTGGCTATGTAAAATATGTAAGCGTAGATCATTCCTATCCCGGCGATGGTTAATATGAAGTACATTGCAAGATAAAACCCTGACATATATCCTCTGGTATAAATTATTCCATTAGTAACTGAAAATACCCAAATGCAGATAACAGTGATAATAGCCCGTCTCCT